CTAGGCCGGAAGATTAGAAAGCTAATGGTTTTTGGCGGGAAAAAGCTCTGCTCCCCTCCCCCCACAGTATAAATAGAGCAGAGCATCCGCCATTTTACTCAGTCTTTGCGACAGCCGTTCGCTGTGCCTCGTGCCTGTTCGTCTCTCACTTAGATTTTCGCCCTGTGCTCCTTCCTTAAACAAGCCATTTTGCTTTTTTGCATTTCTTTTTCTTTGGGATGGTTTTAGCTGCTACCTCTTGTACAATGTTGCCAATGTCCATCCATACTGGAGTGGGTTGCCATTTCCTTCTCCAGTGGATCACCTTTTGTCAGAGCTCTCTGCTATGACCTGACCGTCTTGGGTGCCCCTGTACAGCATAGCTCATAGCTTCATTGCAAGCCCCTTCAGCATGGCAATGCAGTGATCCATGAAGAGGAGATAGGAGTATAGGGGCTGTCATTGTGAGTGCCTGCACTTGAACTTGTACCAGGACGGGAGGAAAACTGACAATAGGTGGCCGTCAGATTGATCCTTCATCTTGTTATCTTGGCAAACAAGCAGATAATTTATTTATCCCTTTGCAACAGTTATTAGGTACAAATGGGGAACCCCTCTTAAGCTTATTAATATTAGCAGGGCTTTTTTTGTCATAGAACGCACTGGAATGGCGTTCCGGCACCTTTTTTCGATGGATCTTTCCACATGAATTTGAATCACCCTGTCAGGCATAGCAGGTCGGCGGCAAAATCGTTAAAATGATGCATGCAGGCTGCTTGTGTGTCCGCGCTGGTTGTGATGGCACTGCTCAGCTTGTAACGCCGCTTGGCTTGTGACTGGTCGTGTGGTCGCGCACTGAGTGCTTACTGCGGGCGGCAACCATTATGTTTCATTACAGTGACTGACTATGTGCGAAAGGTAAATAATTTATTTATTTTTTAAAAACATTGGTGAATTGAACATCTTTTTTTAATTTTTAGTGTAAAAGTGTGACCCCAAATTTAAAAATGAAAAACATTACTAATTTTCAACCACCAGTCCTGCTAATAAAAAGTCCAGAATATTAAGAACTGAATATATATTTTTTAATAAAAGATTAATGAGATGTGTGTTCCAGCCCTTTTTTTTTAACAAAAAAAGCACTGAATATTAGAGAATGGACTACAGTCCAGAACTAGATAGTGGTTATCAGATTGTAGAGAAACTGCGGGTTTTCCTTCTCAAACCCTTACAAAGTCCAGATCTCCAGAAGGGAAATCCTCTGATAGTCAGCACAGAAATAATGCAGAAACTTTAAGACAGAGTAAACGATTGGGGAAAATCAGGCAGGCAAATTGCTAAAGCAAATAATTTCTGAGCTAGCCCTATCATTAGAGTGAGATGGCTGCCTCAAGCAACTGATCAGGGGTGTCATGAAAGAGCAGCAATTTGTTAGATATTTAGAGCATGCTCCTATAGCTGTTTAGACCTATGAAAATGTCTACAACTTCCAGCATGGCCAAGCCTTTTTTCAGTCTAAACATGCAGAGAATTCCACGGTTAATTTATCATTGTATTTGCACTGCCAAGGATGAGCAGAGGAATAGGTGGGATTTTCTGCCTCTATTGTAGAAGCAACTTGACTGACCATGGACACAAGCCCAAATTAAGTTGCAACAGTGGGCAGCTACAAGTTTAAAATTTGCTGTTTAGAGTGTCCCTGAGGAAGACCAGTGTTCAAAATGCATTGGAGTTATTAAACACACACAGATAAACCTTGTACACGTGGAATGTCTCCTTCCTTTTCCTTCCTTCCTGGGCACTATGCATCCTGAGTGCAGGAAGTGAGGGATCATTTATTGCTCTGCCAGGCAGCAAAATCTCTGAGATTACCACACACAGGTAGGGGAAACCTGCTCACCTTTCCCTCCTAAAAATCTGTCCGCCAAGAAGGTGAAACCCTGACACCTCCATTCAAATGGAGGGTTTTTTTTAAATTCCCTTGTAATGGGAATTTAGGAAAAATGTTGCAGGTGGAAACATTTAAACTCCCTGTGCCCATGAAGGTAATCCCAATCTGGACTAGGTCCTATGTGCTTGCTGAAAGGGGAAAGAAAAAAATAGTGAGGTGCTCCTGCACATTATGCATCAAAAGTAGCATCTAGGTAAGCCCTAACTATCAGTCTTGCTACAGCTAGGAAAGTTGCCTGCATTTTTGCAGATACTCAATTAGCCCATTCCTTAGGGAATGGGAAGAGGGGAATTTAGTTGACTCATACTCCTGCTTTTTTCCATTCACAGAAACAGAGCAAGGCTTAGCCAAATCATCTTTCTTCAGACAGAGCATCCAAATATGTACTTAATCATAGAGCAGAGCAAGGTCAGACCAGCAAATTGACCTATTCTAGTAGAACATTCAGACCAACTCCAATCTGTTATAATACTGCCAAAGGTAGATTTTTGCATACCACTATGACTTTTAAACACAGATTATAAAATTACTATGGGTGTTTTGGCAAATAGGAGGAAATGAAATAATTGGAAAATAATACAATCTTGATCAAGCAGGTTCAAGAATTAGGATTTATTGAGGGCAGAGAGTTTAAAACAAATAGGAAAATTATTATTATTGACAATGCTTCAGAAAACTCTGTATCATGATCAGTATTATTAAACTGGAATGGAAGTACTTGAACTAATTGTATATTAGTTCTAATTGTATATTGGCTATGATTTATGCCATGGTAACTAGTTTCAGAAATACCAGACAAACTGGAAAAGGCAATGGAAAAGGGACTGAGAAATGCCTATTACACAAGAAAAAAATAAAGGTTTCTTCATTCTTCCTACAGAGACCACTTAAAATATCATTTAGATATTTAATATGTACTAGATGCCAGGACAAACATGAAGTATTGAAGATAATATTATAAATATTTAGTTTCTTAGCTATATCTATCAGGAGGCACAAGATTATGGGACACAGATCACTGATACAATTTCACATATTTATGTATTTATTTTCTATTCCTACCTTTCTACCAAGAAAATTCCACTCAGGGCAAATTTTGGCTTTCAGTGTTGTAATAATAGTGCTGTATGTCATACAGAATAGTATGATAATTTATCATCCTTTCAATCAAATTGATCGGTATCAGCAAAATGTGCTTAGACACATGATTGGGAAAATCCTTGTTTAGTTGTAATATGAGGAAAACTATTTAAATAATTTTTATTTAAACTGTCTAGATTTAGCAGAAATTGACAAGCTGAAAGATTTTATGCACAGAAAAGCTGGACATTGTTAATAAAGTAAATTAGCAAATCAAAGCATATGTTTTATACTGGAATCAATACTGTGCTTGTATTTCTTTAAAAATACTACTGTAGTTTACTGTGCTTTAGGGTTTTTATTAAGCATAGTTTTAAATGTGTTTTATTGATATGCATTTATTATTGCATTTTCCTATGCTGTAAAGCTGTTCAGTTATATGTGGTTGTAGAAAAGTTGGTTAAAGATAATACATTACTTTCTTTATATGCAGTGCAAAATATTTTTACAAGCAGGTAACAATAGAAACAGGAGGCAAATCTTAGTAGAATTGGTAGAAGAGATTTACCTGTACATTACAGACTGGAAGAGCTGTGTTGGGCAGGCTGAAAATTTAGAAAAAGTCCCAAGAGGCAAGAAAGTGAAGGGGCCAGATGGGCAGAAGCAAGAGGAAAGAGTCTAGAGCAGCAATAGGAGCCAAAAGGCAGTAGAGAATGGGGGCTGAATTTTACATGTTGATTTGAACTAACCCAGCGAATTAGGACTTTTAGGTTCACTTCAGTGCAATTTCATGCAGATACTGCACGTCCCAAAAAGTTAAAACATTTTAAATAAAGCATTTTTTGCAGAAATATTGTACTCACAGAGATAAAGGTGAAACAATAATAAATGTCCAAGTAGCAAAAAGGAAGCCGATCCCAAAAACACAGTTAATGCTGCTAAAGCCAGGATTCCAGCTGCTTTTGTCTCTATTGGAGTAATGGGAAGAAATACCAGCCAAGTCCCATTTCCACTGAAATCTATTGGAGCAAAAATTATGGGCAAATACTTTTATTCAACTAGGTGCTCTATTTTGTTTACAAATACATTATGGGTGATCTTTCTCTTCTTTTTCCTGATGCGAATTTTAACATTCTTTTCTAAATTCTTAGCCCCAGAGCCTCAATGAATCAAGAAACCTTGACTTTTCATTCAGTACCATCCATGCATTATTTTAAAGCTTTCAAGATCTAAAATACAGGTCATAGCACTGAAAATTTCAGGTCCCAACTCATATTCGAATGCTATTTTTAACTTTTACAAAAACAAACAAACCAAACCAAACCACCTATGCCCCAAACAAGATAGAATCCTAGACATTTTTCTTTACTACTCTTTCACTTCATTAAAATCCCCAAAAGGAAGGGATATGAAACAAATGAGTATGTTGGCCCAGTATTCTGGAGGTAAGCATTCATGTTTATTACATATAGCCTATTAACAGGAAGTAGCCAATAAAAATAACAGTAGCCTAACAAATGCATCAGAGTTCTTTTCACCCACCACACCAGAAGGCACCAGTGATCAGGATCTCATAATACAATATACATTCAGAGCCAGGAGGTGGACAAACATGGGAGCATGCCTCAGAAAATACAACCCTGCATCCCTGTGGGGGTGGTAGGGAAGGAGGGATAGTTTGCCCAGCCTTCTGAGGATTGTCAGTGCGTATGTACAGGAGTATGTTTACAGGTCTGTATGTTTACAATCATGACCTGTGGTCATATGCTACCAGTGTGGTGTCCCTGGCACACAGTCCCTGACATGCTTGTCCAGAGTCAATTTAGCCCTCATGGTATAAAAGTTTCCCCACTCTTGCCATAAATTATAATGGCTGTATGAATGAGCATATGCATTTTTGCATATTTTACTCTTGGAGAGCTATAAAATCAGCTACTGTTTAAGAAACTGCTTTTTGAGATAACAAATCTCTAATTTAAGAAACCTCAGACTTTCATTTCAACAATTAGTACTAGATCATATTGTTGTTAAAAATGTTATTTTAAGTTACTGGAACAATACTTTCAAACTGAGGAGATGTGCGGAGTTGTGCTGGATTCACAAAATACTGGATGAAGACATACAGGATCACCAATATCAGCAGGAGGATCCCAGCAACAGCAGAAGCAACTGCATTGAAGAAAAACCTATGAGCAGAATAGAAAGATTCTACAACCTGCCATTCATATTAAGAATTAAACAGCAGATTGATAGGAAACCTCTATCTGTGGAAGTGTTGTGCATGTGCAAACTGAATTTAATTAATTACATCCATAAGTGAAAAGTCAGTCATTAAGACTGAACACCCTGTTTGTTAAAAAGACATGCCTATGGTATTTTATGTTGTGAGCCGCCCCGAGGCTTCGGCGAATGGGGCGGCATAGAAATGTTTTAATTAATAAATAAATAAATAAATGGTATTGTTTTTGCTTGAAAACTCAACTTGTCTGCTTTAAAAACACCTGTCCAGTTTCCAATTTTTGGCACACCTGAATGTTTTCCCTTCTACTGGCAGTTTTCTCTTTGCAAACTAAATTGCATGCTAATTTTGCTGCAAGATATATGAAATCCCTGTACCAAAATATATATGCTGCTATATCTGAAAATTGTGTGAATATCTATTTTGTCATAATTTTTCATCCGGAAGTTACTCTGTGCTACATGAGATTTTAGAGTGTCATCACTGCAGCAACAGTTCCATACCATTCCAGAGAACTTTTGAATTCTTCAGAAGCTTGTCAGAGTTTCCTCAACAAGAAAGTCTCTGTTGTTGGTGGCCCAGAGAACTTTATTATTGGGCAGCATATATATGTTATAAATAAGCAAATAACAAAACAGGTTTCCCTGGAAAAAAAAAAATACAGCTCTACAGCATGCTCCTAAGGAGGAGTACTTACACTTTGGCTGAGACACCACAACCTCAGACTGTTCTAATGCTGGCCTGTTGTACTGGCTATATCTGGGCCTGGCCTCCTTTCCTCTCCCAATTGCTCTCTGCTCTGCAAAACCTGCAGCTGCCATCCTTCCTGCTCCTTCACTGCACCACCTGCAGCCTCCACAACACCCTGTTGCTCTGAACCCCTGCTGTGTTCCTCATACCCGCTCTGCTCTTTGCCCCACCCCCACATCAGCCACCCTGCCCCCCCCCCCCCATAGCTTTTCTAGTGCTGGTGGAGAAGGGCCTTTTTCTATGCAGGTATTAGATGGTCAGTTCAGTTCTAGTACAGAACCAAAAAGGGAGCTTGTTGGTTCCTGGTGGTCTATGGCCACCCATGTGACCATCTGTAACATTAAAAGAAGGTACCTTTCTCAGCAAGCTCCCCACCCCCACCTGCACCGCCCAACTAATGGAGGTGGTACTGTTATGCAAGCAGAATCAATAAACTAGACATATGGACTCCTCTACTTGTACTCTAAAAAGGACCATAATGGAACAAGGACACACTTATCACAGATATGAGCAACAGCACAGGTCTCAGAGCAGTACAAGGAATGAATCATTAGCAGGTGAACTTTTCCTCAGCCAGCTCATTGAGAATAAATTAAGTGCAACACCAGTATAAAAACACTGGAGAGATTTCCAACTGATTTCTCATGAACAAAACCATTAATTTAGCTTCAGTTGAAAAAAGACCAAATGATTAAGAAGCTGCTGGCACTGCTTGATACACAATTAACATTCTTTTCTGTGCCATGAAGTCAAAAAATATCCCAAGGGCATGAAGGCAGAAAATGAAAACAATCCTGGTTCCCAAAAGCACTCTCCACTGGCACACTATCCAAGATTTCAGACCATGAGGCAAAGTGCTCACAGTTAAGATGCAAGAGAATTTGACAGTGTTTGGTGTTGCTACTTTTACATGTTGCTGTTGCTATGCACCATCAAGTTGTGTCCAACTTATGGTGATCCTATGAATGAAAGTCTTCCAAAATGTCCTATCCATGACGTCTCTGTGACATCTCTATTGTCTCACACTAATTAAAGCAGTTTGCTTCCACACTACAGCCTATTAGAACTACTCAGGCATGCTTTTCCACCATTAGCTGGAAGAAGAAGGATAAATGATGGTCATATACAACACCTGAATATAGCATTGCATTTTTCAGCAATATCATTTTCTGTGAATCTCCTTCAAAGATTACTCACACACAAGTTCCATTCAGCAGCAGACCCCATGCAACTTCTGTAAGGACACATTGAGACAAAAAACCCTATGCTTATTCAGACAGAAAAAAATCCTATGGTTTGCAGCATGCCCCAAGTGGCATTGCTGGTCGAAAGGATGCTGGAAACTGTGGGACTTCCTACAGATACAAGACTATCAAAGAGGTAGTACTTGCAGGTTTGCCCTGCTTTATTGTTTCCTTTTCAGCAGATGAACAGCTTCTTAACTGTCCCTTGAATAGCTTCTGTAAATTGTCCTGCTGCCCTACCTTCACTTTCCACTGTTTTCCTTTCCCCAGGTATTATTTTAAACATAGTGTATTACAGTGAAATAGCAATATTAAATTTCTGTAATTAAAACCCCCATCCCATACAAAAACCCTCATAGAGCATTCGCATTTCACTAGCTATTTATCATATTATCTCAGCAGAAAGCAATAAAATGGGTTGCAACTGCAGACAGGAAGTGTTTCAATTAAAGAGAGAGGAGCCCTTTAGTACTTTGTTCACACTGTGATTGCATTTCTTTTCTTTTTCTTTTAATCTCCATAATTCAGATATGACATAATGTAAGAGGACAACACAGTAAAAAATATAATACAACAAGCCAACAGCTATGTTGGCTGAATATTCCAGAGAAAGCGAGTAAACAAAAGATGATAATTGTAGAGAAATACAGTTGTGTGGAAGCAACCAGTTATTCATTCAAGTCAAATGGTCTATGTTTCAGTAAAAGCTTCCTCTGTCATGCAGTGTTAGTACTTGGACCTTTTTAATTGTTTGCATATATATTCAAATATTAAATGAGCAGTCAGTTCAGATACATAGGAGCTTCCATTCTCAAAAATGTGGGGATCTGAGACGGCTACTCCTCTTCTCTCTTCCTAAATAGTAGCCAGTTTTACAGACAGGAAACATTTCCCAAGCTAACCAGTTAGCTTACCAGTAATTTCTGCTTCCAACACAGTTATTAAGCCAATTACAGTGGTGGTCGAAGTCTGCAATACACTTATTGCAAGTGCTACAGTGTTTTGTCTTTGGCCCTCTAGGAAAAGAATAACAACACATTAAATTGGAATACATTTCAAATACTTCAAAATAGGCCATTACCTCATTTTAAACACATCTTTATATTTATAACGTGTACACAGATGCAATGAGCAGCCATCCATGACACACAACTAGAAGAGTCATGTAGGAACTGTTGGATGGAAAGAGTGTTTAAAAATGGGATACAACATATTGATTTAGATTCTAAAGACTGCCCTGAATAGCAAGGCTCAAGGCACTGCTTTCAGTAAAAGGAGCATGATAGATTCATGTCGGAATATACTTGGCTTACAGAAACCCAAATGGCATCCCATGCAAATGAGTGCTTAACAGAGAACCTACAGTGGTCAAGACAAAGCTACTGAACCAATGAAATGTGTATGGTTTAAAACTCTCTCCACACAAATGGAAGTGGCAAGCTGGTAATGAAGAGCAAGCTTTGCTCCTCTAGTAGCTGTTTCATTGGGTTTGAAGCTCTGGAATCAATCCTCTTTCCATCATGGATGAAATCATTGTATGATTTACTTTTTTTCTTTCTTCTCTAAAACCTCTTCACCAAGTATCTGTACCTGCTGACTTTGCTGATGGTATTTCATCCCATTTCTTCGCCTTCCTAATCTGTCTTGAACCAGTTCCACTCAACTGAAATTTCTCTCTTAACAAAGTAACAGATTTTCTAGGCCAGTTCTTAGGATAGTTACAGACACTCATCTGAACACAATATATTGTCCCTTTCTCAAATGTGCAATGCTTTCTTCCATAATGGACATGCCTGTTTCTGTAATGTGCTTAGAAGCGACCCTGAGAACTGCCCTGACTTCTCTTCTGTTACCCTTCTCCATTGTACTCTAGGGCTTTTGCTGTGTCTCCTTGGACTCTTTCCCTCACTCTCATGTCCATCTTTTCTGTGGAAGCCTCCCCTTCCACAGCCTGATATTTATAGCAGAGTGAAGTGACAGAATGCAGAGGTGGTGCAATGTCTATACCTCTTCAGAATGCAGAAGGAGCTCTCATTTTTGTACTCCTCTGTGTATTAAAAAAACTCCCTGTAAAGGACTACGAGTACATTAGGAAGAAAAGTTTCAGCCTGGGTTGCTTCTTGCTGTCCTGCTCTATGGCATCCAGAAAGTCATCTCCCCCACTTGCAGAATAAAGGTGCAGTTTATTCTACTTGCTCAGGACTCTAGCACTTGTCTCCTGCATGTGTAAATCAAACACATTTTTTCCAAGCTATTCTCCATGTGCTATATCTCCCTTGTTGCTTAGTGCTTGCTAGAGAGAAAGGGTGGGCATTTACAGACCCTGCTCTTCATGGTTCCCAACTGTGTATAGTGAACAGAAGGTGGTGCCTGCCATCCCCTATTCTTTATATAGTCATTCTATGTGCCCAGTTAGCTAAACTTTATTAAGATCTGGCCTCTCCTTCTTTTTCTCCCCTTGCCCCATCAACCACATTCTTTCTTTCACCAAAAACATTATTTTATTTGAAACATGTCTCCCATCTTTCACTTGAACATTTCCAAGACAGTTTAAAAGTGTAAATACAATCAAACCAACAAAGAAAGCTATTTGCCATCCCACATATGCCACAACATAGAAACAGAGTGAGTCAGAAGGAGTCTCCTGGGCCATCTAGTCTGACCCCTGGCTCCAGCCGGCTCCGCTCACGACATGCCCACCATGTGCATGTCCAGCCTATCTTTGAACACCCTCACCGATGGGGCCTCAACCACCTCCCATGGAAGCCCATTCTATACTCTCGGGGTCCTAACTGTCAGGAAGTGCTTCCTGGCATCTAAATGGAACCTTGGTTCCCTGAGCTTTGTAATGATAAGAGTAAAATCATAAAACAGCAAGTGAAGGAGCAAAAAACAATCAGCATGGAGGGAAAAGCACATCAATAATCTTAAAAGACAGGATAAATACAAAAATTTGTGGCATCATAAACCAGCTTTAAGGACATCATCTAACTGAAGATCAAGAGCATACAAAATCTAAGCAAGCTGTTGCCACTGCTAGACAAGTGCTAACTAGTTGTATTTATTACTGCAATGTTTTAGTAAATAAGGAAGGGTGCTTCAAGACGAGGCTTTTATTGTGCAATTGCCGTGCCTCATTCACAGAAATTTCCAGGGGGTCCAGATGACCTTCTCTTCAATGTATAACCCTCTCATGTTTTACCACTGTTTCCTCAGTCTTTTTTCTTTCCAGGAAAAAAAACCTGTTAGGGAGGAAAACAATTGGAAAAGCTGTATAGTGCCTTTTGGTTGGTACTGCTAAGAGCCATCCATCTAGAAGCACCCTAGGTGTTTTGTTTTGTGTGCTATGCTGTTATGGGAGGAACTTACACATCAGCTTCACAAAGATAGCAGTGTTGGTTCTGAATAACATGTTTGCATTTGCTTCGGTCAAAAATTGGCATAGGTTTCTTATAATTCTTCTTAATCAATATGTTTTGATCTGCTGGATCAATAGTGATTGCAACAAGATGTGTGATTAAGTGATGCATAAAAATTATACCGATCACCTGCATTATAATAAAGTTAAGGAAAAGTTAAAGAATGAAAGAAAATAAAGAATGGATCCTCTTGCATGGGTGGAAGTGATACCAAGAGATTAATTTTTGCTACACTTATCATAAATTGTAATTATAATGCATATTTTAAATAAAAAATAGTCTCAGCGTGGTCACATCATTTTTTCCAGTTTGACTGGCCTACTTGACAAAGCACTCCATCTTCTTACGCAAAAGAACTCCTCACAAGGAAGTGAATTTTATTTCTCACTTTCTATTGCTGTCATCCTCATTTTTAAAATATTCTTAAAATATATTTTGGTGACAAATACACACAGTGGGTCTTTGTTGTTACAATCCCTCTACCAATTACTGCAATGACTATTAAAGAGTCAAGGTTTCTGAGCCTGGGGAATACTGTAAGGCACAATCCAAAATACCTGGAAGGTACCAGTTTAGAGAAGACTAGCCTAAATCAAACTGGCCTATCGGGTTTGTGGTCTAGTTTCAATGCAGAAAATGCCATTTTTGTATGTATTATGTGTCTTATTAAAATATTTTGCTACTTTCTTAAATTACCATTTTGGCCAAAAAAGCAAAAACAAAACATCCTTTGATAACTGATCATAGTACAAAAAATCTGCCACATTAGCTGTTACTTTCCACACCAATAGTGAGCAGCTTCTTTTGAATTACTGAGGATTAACTGTTCATTATCAATTTTATAGCACTTTTTGAAAGCACAAATTGCTTAAGGGTTTATATCTCATTCAGCCTCCCAAATATCCCAAGATAACTCAATTTTCCATCCATTTGTGAATGAGTAACCCATTTACTCAGAAGTAGTTGGGCTTTCATTTTAATAAACATGTATAGGGCTGCAGTCTTAAGCAGGGCTGTCTTAACAGCATTATGGGCCCCGGGCAAAGCAGTGTACTGGGGCCCCTAAGACAACTACAACTACCGTTAATCTTGGAAGTTTTCCAATTTTCCAAGGGTTAACATACACAGATTAGTATGGGGCCCAGGGGCAAGTGCCCATCAGGCCCATGTGTTAAGACGGCCCTGATCTTAAGGTGTGGAATGTGAAGACAATAATCATCCAGCTCTTAGTAAGAGAGTGACCATGTTGTCAGCAAGGACATTCTAGACTGGAGGACATTTTCTTTGTAGTTGGGGCAGACCCACAAATAAGCAGAGAAGTACAGCACTCTCCAGTGACAGCTGTGATATGTAAAGTGTGCCAAAGCAGACTGCCACAGCACAGCTCTTTTTAAGTTTGCATGCCATTATTTACGTAGAGAAGGCACAAGCCACAGAGTGCAGTTGTGTGGTGAATCGTGTTGGGAAAGCTGGCATTCAAGCTATGTGGGCACACATCTTTGAAGATTTAAGATGTAAGGACCAGCCCCTTGAATTTGGCCTGGCAGCATGTGTAATTGCAATATCAACTGAATCAATGTTCTCCTCATCCTATTCAAAAGGAAGGGAATGTTCATTTATGTTTAATTCAAGCAACTGGCAATTTCCAAGCTGTCTTCATTGGCAACCTCATCACAGAGAAACATCCCAGGGGTTATAAAACCATGGATTACCATGTAAGGTGGTAATATGAGAAGGATTGGTGCCTATACAGTAACAGAGGTTAGTAAAATGCACTGCTGGCCATCACTGCCAGCACTGTGTCCAGGAGCTGGGCAAGATCTAGGAGTACCCTGCAGGCTCCGTCATTTCCATGATGAACAGATGCTACCAACAGCAAACTACGCCTAGCCACATCAGTTCTGCTCTGTCTTGATTTCATTTCAGATTGTGGCCAAATACAACTGACTGCAGCATTCAGAGACTGGATGAGATAAACAGCTCAGGCCATTGAAATATGGAGTTAGGTGCCAACTTCATATAATTAATACAACAGAGGTGATATCACTCTGCGTAAGGCCAGATACAAAGGAACAAAAGCAAGTAGCTGCTACCATGAACACTTCAGGCTGCTGTTTGTGAAAGATGTGGTCTACCATGTCAACAGCTGCTAAGAGTGCTAACAGACTCAAGAAGGCATGTCAACCTCTTGTCATCCATAAGAAGCTTTATGACAACTTTGTTCTCAATTAGTCTGAGACAATCTGAAGAGAAACCAAAATAATCTAATCATTAAATCAGCTGGTTCTTTTGAGAAAGTCTGAAAATATCTTTGAAAAGGATATTTGATGTCCAGGACTTTATAATATTTGAAAATGATTCTCATTTTTCATTCATGCCTTTGATTGAAAAACTGATTTTTCTATTAGATGCCTTAAACTGAGAAGGGCCAGAAACCATGTTGTTAGCACCCCCACTCTAACATATGTTCTTCACTTTGACAATTATTTCTATCTTTAAGCTGCAGTTACCATTGTGTATAAAAATAATGAAGGACACCATTAATACTTCTTAAGATCCTAGCAACAATCTTGTGTTTAGTACATAAATAGTGAATCAGTTACAGAGCTTGTGATGTTTCCTTTCTATAACTTTAGTGTCCTTGACCTTGGTTCCTCATCCTGTACAGAAGGAAGAAAAAAAATTAGATGCATGACATGAATATGCCATAGACCTCAATATTTGGTTTACTTGAGTTTCTGAAAGGAAATGACAGATAAAGCTGCTGTAAATGAGCCTTAATGGAATATGGAAACTGATTCTGATTCATATGAGGAGGAAGTGGAGGAATTTGCAATTGAAGTGCCAAGGCCAGCCAAAAGAGGGAAACAGAGTGGTAAAAGAGGGCCAGTTAGCCTCAGATACTCTGGGAAGCCAGAGCAAGTCTGATAATGAGCACTTGAGGAAATGGATGTAATTAATCCCAAGATGAGGCATCAATTGAAAAGGGAGATTCCACTAAGAACTGTCAGGAACTCTAAGCTGTTGCTCTGAAGCACAAGGGCCCACATTTAAAGGTAGGGCTTTGGAAATTTGAGTTCTGAAGGGACCTCAGTCTAGAACCAACTTCTTTTCATGAAGTTGCATTTCCTTATTGATTTGATCACTTAGAATTCACTTAGATCACTTAGAATTCTAAGAAAACCAGTGCGGTGTAGTGGTTAAGAGCATGGGAATGGGACTCAGATGATCCGGGTTCTAGTCCCCGCTCAGCCATGGAGCCAACTGGGTGACTTTGGGCCAGTCACAGACTCTCAACCCAACCTACCTCACAGGGTTGTTGTTGTGGGGATAAGATGGAGGAGGAGAATGATGTAAACTGCCTTAAGCCCTTTGTAGGAAAAAGGCAGGATATAAATCAAATAAATAAATAAATTCTAACAGCAAAATGCAGGCTCTAAATCAAATAAATAGATAAATTCTAACAACAAAAGGCAGGCTATAAATAAATAAATAAATACATTCTAACAACATTTGTTTCTCTTGTTATTGGCTTATACAATATCCTTAATATCTATACTTTAAAGCTGCCCTTGCTGGTTTGCATTATCATAGTAAAGTGTTTAGTTAGAATATCAGTGTCTGCATCTGACTTTGGAAGGAGAAGAGATTTCTCTGACAGATGCCAAGCAAGGACATCAGAAATGGCTAGTGCTCTAAAATAAATAAAGTATAATCAGAGGAATAATATATGTTGATATGTACTCAAAATTACTCCCATTTATGTAATGAAAGTTACTCCTACAAGATTGTATAGAATTGTGGTCCAGCGACCAGCAAACGAGGACTTTCTTTGTCTATTGCTGCACAGGCCTATTTCTTACTAGTGCTGTCCTGGAATTGACTTCCATATTTGTTCAGCCATTCTAGTTTAATTGACTGAAAAGAAAGTGCTTTCAGTAAAATGTTCAAAGCCAAAAAAACATTTTGGAGGTATTTGGATAGGTAGATTTTGAGATTCTTGCCCTTACCTTACTTTGCTCAGTTTCATAGAATGCCTGCACCGGCTCAGAGCTTTTGGACTCGCTTGGAGATCGTTTTCTCCAAGCAAGTCCAAAAGCTCTGAGAGGGGCCGGAGAAATGAGCATGGCAGACCGGATCTGGCCTGCAGGCCATAGTTTGAGAACCCATGCTCTTGTGAGATTAACTCCTCCCCAACATTGCTTTTTCAGATCATGAAGTCCCAGCAGCCAGGGAGGCTGCAATGTGATGAAGAGACATATAGTATAAAGAAAAAGCAGGTATGGCAGCCTTGGCTACTTTGCAGTGATAAGTCATGCTCAAAAATACCCTGAAGTGCCCTGAGAATGAGATAAAAAGACGAACGTCTCTTTTATGGCGGAAGAAGACATTGGGGAAATTGAACGACAGATTTTGGCACAGTGCTATTTCTCACTGTGGTGCTAAATTTGAATCTGAATCACTTCAGAATGCAGGATGAAGTTCACATGTCAGTGTTCCACCATATTATTTTCCTTGACAAAGAAAACTGGCATAACAGGGAGAACAGTTCTAGCCTAGTTTTATACGTGCAAGGATTTTTTTTTATAGAGTAGCATTCAAGCAAGCAAGCACCCACTTTCCCCATAAAGTAGTATTGGTGAGATACAGCTTCACCACCAAACTTTGCATGTTAATCACACTGTTTAAAAAGCACACTTAAAGCTTCCACTTATTTGAAAGTAAATAAGTCTCCAATTATTTGGAGACGTATCCCAGTGCAGCCCATGTTCTCAATCTAGATTAGGGCTCCAACAGTTCCTTTTCCTTCCAAACATGTGGAAGCTTAACCATGCTTTTAAACCAGAGTTTTTACACAGTTGCCCCTTTGTCTGCAAATATAGGAATGGTAGATTCTCATAAACAATTGAGCTCTTTAAAGCTATCTTTCAGATGAGTAGCTATCCACAAGTATGATTCCACACACATGCACAACAATTTTGCTCACACACATTTCTCAACTTCCACATGTATGGGATTAATATCTTGGCATGGGACCAGGATACCTGAAGGAATGTCTTCTTCCTTTTATGCCCTCCTGCCCCTTAAAATCAGAGGCAGAGGCCCTCCTCCGGGAACCCTCCTTGAAGGAGGTTAGGAGAGTGAATACCCAGAGGAGGGCCTTCTCTGTGGTGGCGCCCCGACTGTGGAATGTACTCCCCAGAGAGGTTTGCCTGGTGCCAACATTATATTCTTTTTGGCGCCAGGTAAAAACCTTTTTATTTGCCCAGCATTTTAATATTTAAATGTTTTAACTAAGTTTTAGCCACATTTTATTATGCTTGTTGCATTTGTTGTGTTTATTTATTGTTATGTTTAATTATGTTGTAAGCGGCCCTGAGATGTTTGTTAAGGACGAGGTAAAAATATTGAAAGAAAGAAAGAAAGAAAGAAAGAAAGAAAGAAAGAAAGAAAGAAAGAGACAATGCAGTCCTATGCATGTGTATTCATAATTAAGTCCCACTGAGGCTTATTCCCAGGATACAATTACTGCCAAGCAGAACTGTTGGATCATTCCTCTCAAAAGAGTAAGTGCTTGCCCAACATCAGGTTTTATTAGGCTTTGGATGGGTGGGAGATGAAAGGATACAGCATAGGCAACATATTTCCATTCATATGGGAGAAGAGGTATGTAGATACCAAAGCCCACTATTGCTAGGTATGAATAGAACAGCAGGGTGATTAGCTGGAAAGAGTGGAGTGGTGAAGACCAGCCATTTACTCTGGAGTGCAGTGGGACCACAATGAGGTCATTCAGCTGTTCAGGCCTTGTCTGTCTCAGCTTCTTGTCATAGCAGATCATCTGCAAGACAGAACCCCAAATCACCTGTTAAAAATAGCTTAAGGTAAGTTTAGGCTTACAGAAAAAACACAGGCACTAATCCTTTCTGCATGTTGTAAAGAGGGGAAGCAGATACAAACACTGCAGCCTCATCTATTGACAGCCTCATCTATTGACATCTATTGACCAATTGATCTATTGGTGTAGGGACATTTCTCGGAGCAAGAGCAAGGTCAGCCAAGGTAACTGTTGGACTCTTCCATGCTCTGGCAAGTAAATTATTTATTTCTGAAATTATACTATGGTATAGGTATGTCATGAGCAGAGCCGGCTGGAGCTGGGGATCAAACTAGATGGCCTGGGAGGCCCCTTTTGACTCACTGTGTTTCTATGTTTCTATACTATGTGATCTGTCTACAAATATAGAAAACAAATCCTTCCTGGTTGGAAATAGTTGATTTTGGAAAGCCAAAGTAGAGCAAGTTTTAACTTGCAATAGCTTTCAAATGAAAATATTTTCCTCTTCACAATTTGTTTAATGACAAATTGGTTTCAACTCAGTTTTTGTTGAATTAATTTTAAAGCTGACTCTTCTATAAACACTTCACAAAGGTGAAGTCTAATTCTCTTGAAGCAAACAGAACTAAATCTGATCCTTCTCAGAATGTCATTAACAAGTTAGCACTTTGGAGGGCTGAAGATGCAGTGCTTGTCCCTCCCGAGTAGGTGGGGAAAGGGATTGAATGACTGATAAGTCTATCTTGTAATCACAATAAATTATTCTCCAGGACTCTTCCGTCTTTGCTTTGGGAGGATGGATGTTATTAGGCAGTGCTGTGTCCTATTAGAACTTAGTTTTGTAGACAGTGTAACTTGTGTCCCAGATCTCTGTTCCAAATTTTGGCTCCAGTTAAATAAATTAGATTTTATTTTGGATCAACTAGTGTGGTGAGCATAATTTGACCAATATTATGTCTTACTGGCTTGAAAAAGTTTATCACCATTTATGCTCTTCTGCAGAAGGAAAAAAAACTTGCTGGGTCTACAAGTTAAAGACCAAGTCTTCTGGCTGTTTAAATGAAAAAATGAATTAAATACTTACAGATTACTTTGCTGTGGATGTGTTTCTGCCATAGGTACTTAGAACAAAATTAGTGTTTGGCAATTAGGTATTTCTGCATTTGTTTTTTCTGCCTTTTAAAAATATGTATTTTTGCCTATAATTTCCAGCATGTTGTTTGCTATGGATTAGTGAAAAGACTATTCAAAAATTTTAGAGAACTAATTACCCTCTTTTTCATATATTCTACTTTAGGAGTAGTAACACTAGAAAAACTACTTAAATCAATTTAGCATTAATTATCCATAGAAATATTAATTGGGATCATGGGTGGCGCACTGGGTTAAACCATTGAGCTGCTGGGCTGTTGATCAGAAGGTCAGCAGTTTGAATCTGCGCAATGGGGTGAGCGCCTGCTGCTTTGTCCCAGCTCATGCCTACCTAGCAATTTGAAAGCATGCAAATGTGGGTAGATAAATAGCTACCACTTCAGTGGGAAAAGTAACAGTGTCCCATGCACCTTGGTGTTTAGTCATGCTGGCTACATGACCATGGAAGCATCTTTGGACAACATTGACACTTCAGCTTACAAACAGAGATGAGCACCAGCCCCAGAGTCGACTAGTGTACAGGTGTGAGGGCACATTTACCTTTTTTTATTCATAGCAATATTAACACAGGATGCTTCCAGATTACACCTTTATCATACTATCTCCCTATCTCATTCATAAAATTTTACAAGGGTTCCAGATTATATTGTCTTCCATTCAATATTCCTCCCATGTTTTCCCACGGCTTCTTCCATCTTTTTTCATAGCACTGAAAAAGTTGGAATGTTGCACAGTGCCACCCAGTAAGTAACAGAAGGAACCCTCTACCTGGATTCATCCCAAGTCTGTTAGCCTAGTTGTCTTTTAGTCTTTATCTGTACTGATATTTTGAGTGGTGCCCCACTATCTTGTGGGAGTTTATTTTTAAAAACTACAATACAACCATAATGTTTTGACTTTACATTTTCTATTTTGGCTCTTTTTTTACTCTTTCCCCAAGCCTGTGACTATGTAGTGATTCTAATCGCCTGTTGACAGCAGAGAAGCGTTGCTCAAACAACATCTGTCTCCCAGGATTGGCAGCAACTGGCTGCATGCCCACACGCATTGCAGACCTAGAGCACCAGCAGAGAAGAGACTCCTGCTGCTGTCTGCCCACTGCTGCAGCCAGTCCTTTACAGTGGTGTGCAATGCCTGTGGCATCCACTTATTCGTGAGTAGGCCAGAGCAATAAGCGTTCCACCATCTCCAGAGCTGTTGTCAAGCAGTGGTGGTGGGGGAAACCTTGGTGCTCCTGCAGTACCTCTGGGAGAGTTGTGTGAGAAGCAAGGGGACAGATAGAAGGCTTTGGGGTCACAGCATTGGGAACAATGCAGCTATGAGGCAAACTGTATGGCTTGTCTTGCTACATGGCTTGCTGTTTTGTGTGAATCCACCCACAGCCCCACTTTTTATGAACTTAGAAAAGAAGTTTCTTCTTCTGACATTATTGAGTCTGCTGACAGTCATGGTTTAATAGCTTCACTTTTTAGTTTGCATTAATCTTTTAATTTTTAAATTAAAAGAATGTTCATCACTTATTTTATTGCCTTTTTCAAAAAGTTTATAATCTCTTCTTTCTGTAGTCATTATTTTGGTCTCCAGTTCTTCCTTAGCCTCTTCTAATTTGGTGGTTAATTTTTCAATTAACTTTTTCAAGCTTTTTCAAATTGCTGTATAAATACATCTTTAAATTTTATTGTTAAAGTCATATTCTCTTTAGGGCACAATCCAAAGCCTGCTAGAAGCCATCTAGATGGCCGTAGGAAAGGTTGGCATTCCAGCTTTGACTTCCGCTGTTACAGGAAATCTCAGCCATGAAAGCTTTATATGGTTTTGTGCATCATCCTGGCAGTACCTTGTCTAATGTGTCTACAGGCATCTTGCTGTTATAGCAACCAGGAGCAAAAGTTCCCAGAGGATAGGGAGCAGCTATTCTTGTCCCAGGGCACTGAAAGTGCTGCGCTAGGTACCAACGTGGACCTTTATGATCTTTGGCAGACACTAGTGTATGGCACGGCCAGGTGCGGCCAAACTGACTGACTGCTTTGACAAGCCTGTTTGGGAACAAGTAAGAACAGTGTCTTGGCATTATCTTTTTCACTGTACTTTGAAAGTTTTTACATTTCCCCCTTTGTGTTGATTTGGACAAAGACTGAGCAACTGTTTTTTGTTCAAGACTGCATTCCTCATAAACAAAATACTATTGTGAACTATTGCAAAATGGGAACAGGACATCTGAGTGAGTTCATTTGTATGGGAAGTTCTTGAGTGACATATTTTAAATAGAAAACTGGGTACAATTTTTAAAAAGTATTTGTTTACTTCAGTACCACGCAATAGCTTAAGCCAGGCATGTCCAAAGTCGGCCTGGGGGCCAATTGCGGCCCGTTTTCAAATTTCGAGAGGCCCGCAGCCTCTTCTCCCCGCCGGCTCAGCCTGTCACTCATCCCCGCCGGCCGGCGTTTTTCCCTTCACCGCACAGCGGTTCCCGTAGCTGTCCCCTGCTGCCTCCTGCTCCTTCAAGGCTGGTGGTTATATTTCACCAGAAGATGGCAGTAGACCTGAGTCAGCGCTCTCGCCACATGACCCTTGTGACACAAGGCTTGTGTGCCCATTTCTAAAATGGCGACTGTAACTAAAAAAAAGGAAAGTTGACAGTGAGGGCCGCCGCTTCCAGGACAAGTGGAAATTGAGTATTTTTTCACTGAAACATGAAACAACTGTGTCTGCCTAATTTGCCAAGAGACTGTGGCTGTTTTCAAGGAATTCAATATCAAGAGGCACTACCAGACGAAACATGCTAACTACAACAAGCTAACCGGGAACAAACGCGGCAAAAAATTGAAGGAACTGGAAGCTGCTTTAACGGCACAGCAGTGCTTTTTCACAAGAGCCCGTGAGTCAAATAAAAATGCCACAAAGGCGAGCTACGAGGTGGCAACGCTAATTGCCAAGCACTGCAAACCTTTTACTGAGGGTGAATTTATTAAAGACTGCGTGATGAAAATGGTGGAGAAAATTTGTCCTGAGAAGAAGCAAGAGTTTGCCAATGTTTGCCTGGGTCGTAACACTGTGGTACGGAGAACTGAAGATGTTTCATCTGATATTAAGAGACAGAGGCAAAAGGAGTGGAGTTTGACTTTTTTTCGTTAGCCTGCGACGAAAGCATGCATGCATCTGACACCGCTCAGTTATTGATTTTTTTGAGAGGAGTAGACAATGACATGAACGTGACTGAAGAGCTACTTGACCTCCAGAGCCTTAAGGACCAAACAAGAGGAACAGATTTATTTGTTTCTGTTTGTTCCGCCATAGATGACATGAAACTACCGTGGAATAAAGTCATTGGGATTATTACAGATGGCGCATCTGCCATGGCTGGTGAGCGAAGTGGATTATCAACCCTAGTCTGTAACAAAGTCAGCAAAGAAGGAGGCAAAGCTATAAAACTCCACTGTATTATTCACCAATAAGTTCTCTGTGCCAAACATCTGAAATATGATCATGTTATGAAACCGGTGATGAAGCCTATTAATTATATTCGCTCCAAAGCCCTATGCCACCGCCAGTTTCAACAGTTTCTGCTCAACATCCAGGCTGAATACAGAGATGTTGTGTATCACAATGAGGTAAGATGGCTCAGTCGGGGGTCTGCACTGCAGTGCTTCTACTCTCTTAGGGAGGAAATCGGACAATTCTTGGCAAAAAAGGGACAACTGATGCCAGAGCTATCTGATCCTGTTTGGCTGGCTGATTTTGGATTTTTAGTTGACATAACACGACATCTGAACGTGCTGAAAACGAGCCTTCAGGGGCAAAATGCAGTGGTAAGCCAACTGTATTCACATATCAAAGCCTTTGGGACCAAG